CACCACCCGACACGGCCAAACAGTAAGAAAATGTGTCACGTTTACAAAGGACAAATCACTGCACCTGAATGAGTTAAATGATGACGTCACCCTGCTGCTGCTCTATTTAAGACCGGGAGCAAGAGGAGGGCCTCACCATTCTGGCAAATTGCCCGATGATGCTGGATGTAATTACCAGCGAAACGTCGTACTCAAATTTTAAATGATGTTGATTCACTCTTCAACACACCGGTGGGCTAAAGTAGTGAACTATTTGTCCTTTGGTAAACGTGACACATTTTTTTACTGTTTGGCCGTGTCGGGTGGTGGAGGGTTACGACACATTTATAAATAACGCGATCTAACCCAAAAACCTTTATTATGGACTACCAACGTTGTCTCTCGTATCATCATCGTGACTACCACCATCATTATCATCATCATCACAGTCTTCGATCTCGTTTTCGAGTCGGTGTCACGCGTCGCTTGCGCAACTTGGACGGAGCGATTTCGATTGTGAACCAGGAGACGATGTCGCAGAAAGCAAACTGCGGTGGTTGGATGTGGAGCTGTGTCGCAGTTTGCACGCTGATCTTAGTTTGGTTTTACGAGTCTGGAGGACGCTCTATTCCGGAGCTACCCATCAGTTGAAGTGAAGTTTATTTTATTTCGATTTAAAGCTTTCGTGACTGCAAGGATTCATCTTCTTTGGTTCTTTCGGTAAAGTCACCACGTAGAATGAGAATAAAAAAATAAATTGATAAAATAAAATAACACAATAAAATTCTCACGACGATGTGTTGTGGCCAAAACGTCGTGAGAATTTTATTGTTATTTTATTTTATCAATTTATTATTTTATTCTCATTCTACGTGACTTTACCGAAAGAACCAAAGAAGATGTATTTTATTTGTTACACGGGTGACCCCGTTTATTCAGTTGCCCTGCATATTTTGCAAAAGAAGACCCGTGGTTGTGCGTGAGCACAGCAGTAACAACTAAAACGCAATATTGCAGAGAATGAGTACATGGTCCTTACGGGATATTGCCAAACTAACAATGGTGGTATGCGATGGTCGTAAACAAACCACAAGCGACTGAAAAAAAACTGTGCCAATATAATGAGCAAGAGGCTCGAGGCAAAAGTTAGGTTACATCTCTTAAAACAAATTCTATAGCGCCTTATCGAAGGTGCTTTGCACATAATTAACAATGGTACATATGAATGTAATGCTGGAGATGAGGTGAATGAAATATCAGATGACAGGAAGCAATGGGCAAATCTGTGATGCGTGAAATCAGTGAGGATGAATGGATTGAATGAATGGAGAATGAGTGAGAGTGATATGAGAATATGAAGAGGGAAAATAACGCTGATATCTGTCCGCTGGTAATTGCACATTCAACGCCCTGAATATTGGCCATATGTAAATCAAACAAATTCTATGTTTCCTTTAGAGCAAGCACCTATTCATGACATAGCAGAGAGGGCCATTTCATTGGAAGACACGTGACCATCCAATGGATAGACTCGCCCCGTCATGGGAATGTGGAATTCCCACACCCAACGGAGGTGTCGAACGAGTAATAGTGGCCCGTCTCTTTTATCACCAGGCCATACATTTACATGTATTACGTTTACGTTGTTCAATAAATGAATTTGTTCATTTATAAATTATAGTGTTTTACACGTGAAGTAGTTCTACTTACAACTCGAAACCGTGTTTCTGATGATGCACATGGCCGCGAATTAAACCCACACAATAATAATGAATAATGTACCGCTCTTAAGGGCATTGCACTGCTGGATGAAGATGCCCCCACCCCCACGCCGCGTGAGTCACGGGGGTTGTTTGACCATACTTCACCACGCTGGTCAATGCCCAGGTTAGTGAAAGGGGGGGGGGGTAATATCGGGTTCAGCTTCAGTTCAGATACGACTCGCCATTGATGAATCCACAGACACAAAGAAGCCCAAATAACCACTTAGGAAAGAAATAAAACTACGCTTTATATTACGTAAAAAAAAAACCCTTACATCTCGAAAAGTACAGAAAATCCCCTGTAGAAACCTACACAGGCTGTGAAAGTCGGAGAGATGCAAGGGTGGGAAAGTGTAGCCAATACACATCATAAAACACCTAGGCTTTCGAAACCAATAGTATCGATGATAGAGGGATGTTTTGAGGTTAGATAGGTAAATATGAATGTTAGATTTGTAAATATGAATGTGTCGCTAGCCCACCACCACCCGACGCAGCTAAATAATTAGAGGAATTCATTTAGAGTAATTAATTGGCTGTGAATCTCATGAGCTATTAAGCTCTTTTTCACAGGTGTTCAGTAGGGGCGGGTCAGAAAGTTACAATAACAAACAATATAAAAACACGATAGGAGTGCGCCGTATTTTGGAAACGGTAAGCAAATCACAAATATTTTTGTTACTATTTTTCCTTTACCAGGCAAAGCCTACTTGAGCTTATTAGCTTATTTTTCAGAAGCGACCTGGCCACAAACGATAGCTCAACGAATGTGGCTTATCACGTGGACATTTACAACAGCAGCCAAATCACGCAGACGGATGTTCCTTGCTCACAACATGTGTGCAATTCAGAAACCCGGTGCAGCAGAGATTTGCTTTTCTTCAACCAACGCTGCTAATATTATGCACTCCCAAGGAACGCCTTGCGTGTGGCTTATGGGATGTGTCAAATATATCTTAGATTTTTTTTTGTAACGTCGAGCGAGACATATATACGGTATATGAGAAACATCTATATCGTCTGCTTATGTAACGACTGGATATATCCGTGAAATAGGGGCTTTATATCTCGTCGAATTCATCCTGCAGTATCAACATTCTGATTTCATTGCCACACAGGGGCTCTGTGGCTGGGAGCGCGTGGTCGTGGTGGTTGTAGGGGTGGGGTGGTGATGGTGGGGGTGGAGGAGGAGGGGGGGCAGAGTTTATTTTCCGTGGCGCGCGACCCCCCCCCCGGCGCGCCTTATAAGGAAGTTCCGGGGGGAGGGGGCGCGCGACGGTGGGGGCGGGGTCCGCAGAGCGGGCTCCCGCGCTTTTTTTTTTATCTCGTGCCAAACCGGAAGCACCGATACCCATACATGGTGGGGAAGCGGCTCTGACGTCACGAGCGTCGCTTCCGAGCGCGCGCTCCTAATATAGGCACGGCGCTTCCGACAGGGTTCCCTCCACTGCAGCCGAGGCGCGTTGCCAATTTGAAACTGTAACTGTGGGACGACTCGACGAATTTTATGATTATTTGTACTTTTAAAAAATATATATGTTTTACCGAGCAAAGGCCCGCTTTGAGCTGCATAGCTTTCTTTTTTGCAGAAGCCAACCTGAAAGATCACATTTTGTATAGCTCAAACGAAGCGGGTTTTCGCGTCGTCAATGGTCGTGACGGAGATTTATAACAGAAGCCAAATAGTCTCCAAACGCGTGGATGTTTCATTCCTTACACGACAAATCGACGCGACCACGAGGAGAAAGAGAGACACGCAAACTCCCCAAAGTATACAGCAGGCGTCGGGGTCGAACCCACGACCTCCCGTACACCTGGCGAGGTAGTTAACATCTCATTAGCCACCGTGGCGATTTAATTCGCGCCCCTGACGATAAAGCGACTCCACCGCAATGTTCCCGATACAAATTGACCCAAAACGCTACCAAATTTTTTTTTTTACTATTCTCGAATGCGAGTACAGCATTGTAAAAATGTTCAAGAAGTCGTTGCTTGCAACACATTATTGTTGTTATACTTATGAAGGCGGTGCGTGTTAGCACGCAGCCATTGTTGTGTTCGTGTACTCTGGTGTAGACTAGCCGGTCCCTATGTGATTGTTTTTTTGCTCGATATAACGTGGCCCACTGCGTTTTAAAGGCACACACGCGCGAATGCTGTACACATAACACACGCACACTGTACACATAACACACGCACACTGTACACACAACAACCGCCATTCGCCACTAAGTGGCGGTGACGTCACCACGACGCTTGTGCCAGGCTATGTGCACCTTGAGGCTACCACGTGAAGTGTCGAACGCCCGCTGGCAGGTCACGGGGCAGACCCAGCAGGTGCCACGGGTCGACTGACTAAGATGACTGGCTGATGCACCACCTGTGCCCCCTACTGTGCCAACCTGCTGTGCTTTAGCCACCCGGCGCTCCGCTCGTTGTTTTGAGCGTCGCTCCTCCGCCCTCCGTTGTTGTTGGAGGGCGACTGCCTCCAACTGCCCGGTAGCGTCCTTCACGAGCCTCCTCCACAGAGGCTGATCTTGACACCGCTGGTACCAGTCATCGGCAAGTCCACTCAGCTCCACGTCCTCCTGTACCACATCACTCCATCTCTTCTCCAGCCCGTGCCGCGCCCGCTTAGCCCCCTCAATCCGGCCAAACAAAAGCTGTTTCGGCATGTGGTGGCTGGGCATGCGGGCTACATGACCCAGCCAACGCAGCCGTGCCCGCCGGAGGAGCTCACCGATGGGACCGTGCCCAGATCTTTCAAGGATTTGTGAGCTCCTCACACAATCCAGCCTGCAGGTTAAACCCAGGATGGATCGTAGGCAGGCCAGCCTAAATGTTTCTAACCGGCGAAGATGCTGCACGCACACAACGCTCGCACGCTGTACACACAATAATAACAACACTCGCACGCTGTACACACAACAATACCAACATACGCACGCTGTACGCACAACAATAACAACAATAACACTCGCACGCTCTACACACAACACACACAACGCGCACACTCTACGCACAACACGTACGCTGTACACAACAACAACACGCGCGCTGTACACACAACAACAACACGCGCGCACGGGGAAAGCCACGCCACGAGCTCAACAGCGACGCCGCCGCCGACGCCGACAGACAGAGGGGGGGGGGGGGCAGCGCGAGGCCTCTCCGCCCCCCCCGCCGCGCGTGCTCGGCGGGGGGACTCGCAAGCGCGGCCGCGACGTCACGGCACAAGCCCGGCGGTCCTCCCCTCCCGAATGCCCATATAAGGGCAGTGATGTCACGAAACTCGCCCACTTTGTAGTTAAAAGGGAACACCGGGCGCAGGGCCCCCCTCATTCATTCACTCTCCGCCTCTTCCTCCTGCAGCCAGCAAGCCAAGCAGGCAGCAGAGGCGGCGGCGGCGGCAGCGGCAGCGGATGGTGGCTGAGCAACGACTGCCGGCAAACTCCGTTGACTTAACGCACCTTGCAAAGATATCTGCCACTCGCACAGCGGACCCCGTTGTTGTTGTTTTTTTTTACTGGCTGCAAAAGCAATTCCAGCCGTAATCGTCAAGCATCGGCATCCTCAAGCCCAGAGCTGAGCTCTTATTCATTTGCCAGCGGTGCCAACTCTCACACTGCCTGTGTGAAGGCACCCGAGCAACCGATATTAAAGCCTCCCCCTCCCCCCAGCTTGGACTGAATTGCCGCGTAATCTTCTGCTTCTCTGGGAGGTTTTTTTTTGTTGTTGTTTTGGTATCCAGCGAATGCCCTGCTGCTGTATTCAAAGAAAGAGCTCAAAAGCAACGCAGGTATCGAGCGCATCAAACCGAGAGACCGCAACAAACTACAGCATCATCAGCAGCAGCAACAGCAGCAGCAGCAACAACAGCAAAGACACAAAAAAACTAAATCTCAAACAACAACAACAACAAAAATCAACAATCAGCCCCTCACTCCGGGGTTAAGTTGTCGATCTTTACAGCCGCTGCTGGTGCGTGCGTCATGACGGAGATAATGCCCCTGCTTAGCTCATTTCTCCATCCTCTGCCCGATGCAGCAGCGTGCGTTAACCTGGACGAATTTGGCCCCTCCGGAGCTGTCAACACTCCCGGCTCGGCTGCGGACGGCCAGCTCTTTCCTGCCGGCACTCTCGAGCAATACCCCGGCCTCAACTGCGGCATGAACCGAGGTGAGCCCCTCTTTGCCTTTCCCGAGTGTCCGTGCGCGTGTGTGTGTGTGTGTGTGTTGCGCTCATTCGAGACTTAAATTCTGCGTGAACCACAGTAACTGCGGGAGACAAAGGCCCCCAGCGCCGCCCCCCCTCTCCTCGGGGCGTGCAGATGGCCAACACCACCAGCCTCGTGCGCCGTTGCTGGCCTCAATGGGTGCTCGCTAACAGCACTTGCCCCAACACGCTTGTGTTGTCGTAGGCTGCGCGTTCGGGGGTGGGGAGGGGGTCTTTGACTCTGCAGTCAGTCAGCGGACAGCGCCAGAGCTGCCGCTGTCCGCTGCTACCGTTATCATTCGCGCGCGCGCGCTGACTTGCGCTACGATCCTTCCGACGCCATGGGTTAGATTCCACACCGTGGCTATAACATGCGGTGTGGGCAAGTGGTGCCTGAACCTGTCCTGGGGTCTCCCTATAGGGTGCACGGCTTAGCCTTAATGAGTGTCTGGTGAGGTGTGTGTGTGTGTGAACATCATCCCTGGAGAGATGAACGCGGCGAGGAGTAATGCTGATCAGTCACACCACCCACACTCCCTCGTGCGCTCTTTCGCCTTTAACCGTTGCTCGTTAACAGCGCCTTGCCCATACAATCTGTGCGAAGGGGGGGGGGGGTGACTGTGTTTGGCTCCTGAGCCGTGGCGTCGTGATGTTCACACACACACTAAAACCGCAGCAAAACCTCGGTTTGACTCCCGGCTGTAGTTCGCATTGACACCGGGCGAAATCAGTATCTGAAGATAGGGCTGAGCCGTGCCCGTGTCCACTCTGTGTGTATAATCTCCGTGCACGGCCCGGTGCAGCTGAATTTACGCGTCGGCGGCCAGGTCTGCGTGGCTATCTGCTAACCTAAATAGGTGCTCGCTAACAGCGCTTGCCTGTCGACAGTCTATATATGATCGAATGAGGCATGTGTGTGTGTGTGTGCACGTGTGCGAGCGGACCCTGTCGTCGCATTGATATACGGACCGTGCCACGGTCTGCGGCCAGTATCTCGCACAGCCGTGCATAGAGTGTCCGTGCACTTCATGACCCGAGGTATTTTTCTTTCCCAAATCAATAGGGGGGTGCGCATATAGATATTGGCCTTTGCAACTCCGCATATACATATTCGATCAGCTCTATCAATATTGCTCCGCTGCGCCCGTGTCTCGTGTGTGTGTGTGCGCATTGACACAAGCATGTACACACGTGAGCACGTATACGAGGAGGCACACCGTGTGCTGTATTGGCTGAGGTCTCGATGTGTTTGTTGCTGGTGGTGTGTGTGTTTTGTACAGCGTGCATTTCGCTGACTGCATGCATATGCCATTGCAATTCTGCAAACGCACGTAGATGTACACACAGATACAGAGGTGTCCGAGAGAACAGCCCCGATACATTGCGAATTACACGCTGTTATGCTGCACGTATTGATCGTGCAGTCCATATATATACTGTACCAGCTCTTGCCCCGTGTATGTGTAAACGATAAACGATAAGCGAAATCTCCAAGATCATTTAGCCGAACATTTAAAGGAAGACTGTTCCAGCGGCAGGAGCAGCGCCGGAGCCCAGCTGGCTGCGCGCAAAATCTGCATGAAAGCAGAACCGCCCCCAAAGCATGACACCTCGAAGACGACCGCAATTAAGGCGAATGTTTATACGTGGCGTTACACACCACAACAATAGCAGCGCACGCGCGTGCGTGCGTGCGTGCGCGCTCAGACGGGCGGGCGGGCACGCTTGGTCCGTAGCTCACCGGCTGATGCTGCAGCTGCTACTGCTGTGCGTCGCCAATGAGCGCCGAGCCAGCCGCGCGCGTGGCATGTGGGCTGCTCCTCGCTACGTGTGCACGGTGCTTTCTCTACGTGTGTATGCCCTGTGCTGCACCGATTACTCACACACACACACATTGATTGGTTGTTTGGCTTATATAGACACGCGCGCAGAGGCACTACTGACACAGCGTGCGCTCCTCTGCTCCTCCCAGACGCTTTCATGAGCGTGTCCATCGGCACGGAGAAGGGCTCGGCCGAGCTGTCCTACCAGAACATGTTCGGCGGCGCTGTTGACACCGTGTCGGGCTCCCAGAAGCCCACCTACATGGGAACCTTCTTCATCGAGCAAGGGGCCAGCTGGTGGCCTGCCGATGCGCCGCCCGCCACTGTCTCCTCGGCGGCCGCCAACGGCAGCGTCTCCTCTACCAACTCCTCGGGCTCCATCAACATCGTGAGCGCCGAGGTGGTGGGCGACGACATGTCTCCCGGCTCGGTGCATTCGTCCCACACGCCGGCACCCAACACGGGGCTGCTGACGCCCAACAGCTGTCCCGGGCTGTCCGTGGCCTCCATGGCCTGCGGTGACCCCCCGCCCGCCTACCCATCGGCCTGCGGGGACCCCTTCCCGTGCGTTGAGCCTCAGTCTCTGTATTACACCGGCTCGGGCCACGCGGGCGTCTTCGCACCGCCTCCTCCTCCACCACCACCACCACCTCCTTACCCCTCCGGATCTTCCTCCTCGTCTGGTGCAAAGGTTGAGGACGCGCCAGGATTTCACATCCAGTTAGACCACTTGTACCAACCGCAACTTCATCACCACCACAATCACCACCACCACCAGCAACAGCAGCAGCACCAGCAGCAACAGCAGCAGCAGCAGCAACATCAACACCACCACCAACAGCTCTACCAGCAACAACATCATCAGCAACAGGTGATGCAAGCGTCGAGCATGCACGAGCATCATCGCTCGCACCTGCCCTGCTCAGCCTCAGCAGCAGGTGTGGGGGTTGACACGAAGCCGCCCGCGCTGGCCATCACGCCGCTGTCCACCATCAAGGCGTTCTCAACGTCGGTGGCCGAGAGCAAGAAGCTGCTCACGGCGCTGTCGCAGCAGCAGCTGCTGCGGCCCGTGCGGCTCCGCAAGTACCCGAACCGGCCGTGCAAGACGCCGCCGCACGCGCGGCCCTTCCCGTGCCCGGCCGAGGGTTGCGACCGGCGCTTCTCGCGCACGGACGAGCTCACGCGCCACATCCGCATTCACACGGGGCACAAGCCCTTCACGTGCCGCATCTGCATGCGCAGCTTCAGCCGCAGCGACCACCTCACGACCCACGTGCGCACCCACACGGGCGAGAAACCCTTCGCCTGCGACTTCTGCGGCCGCCGCTTCGCGCGCTCCGATGAGCGCAAGAGGCACGGACGCATTCATCTCAAGGGTCGCGACGCGGCCGCCAACTCCAAGGGATCCGCCGCTGCCGCTTCTGCCGCCGCCGCCGCCGCTGCGGCGACGAGAGGCGACGTCAAGGTGGCCGTCGGAGATGCCCCTGGCGTGGGGATGCTCATGGGAGGTGGAGTTGGACTGGCAGGAGGGGACATGTCGAGAGATTTGTGCAACAATCGTACCAGCGGCGGCGGCAGCAGCAGCAGCAGCATCGCGCCGGGCCACCACCAGATAGTCACCAGCAATGACTCTTACGGAGTGCTGTCGTAGGGCAGTGTGGGGGAGGTGGACGGTGTGACGAGACATCGTCTTTGTTTGACATATGCATACACACATAAACACACACACACTGGAGTTTGTGTGTGCGCGTGTGTCTATATGCGCTTAAGCCAAGCCACAGAGCCCGGAGTGTGCAAAGTGACACCCGCGGTTGCATTGGCTGGCGCATGCCAGAGGTGGCTGCACGGAGGAGCAGGTTCGTGAGAATCGAGAGGCGGAGGTGGGTGGAGGGGAAGCCCCCCCCCCCCCCCCCCCCCCCCCAAACAAACACCAAGAACTCTCGCATCGTGGCGCACGCACCGCCCACGTGCGGAGGACTCGGTGCGAGTGAGACACGAGACCCGATTTCGGACTCGATCCGTCCGGGCGCCTCTTCTCTCGCTCAAGTTGGAACTCGAGTGTCGAGGCGTGAGTCTGCGTTTGATGGACATCTGCTACCGTGCCGCCGCCGCTCGCCACGTGTCTCGTCGCCACCTTTTACATCGTGATTTGCTACAGGTGTTCTACACGTGCCCGCCAATTGAATGACCGATTGATTGGAGGGGTGTGGCGGCGGTGGTGGTGTGTCAGATGATGTTTGTATGGGTTCAATCACGGCACATCAGTGAGTGAACAAGTGCCCCTGAGGATCTGTGTCTCAGCAGCAGCAACAGCGGTGTCTCCGTCCCCAAGACGATTTTAAAAGCAGCCTCGCGTCGCGTTGCGTTAATCATTACTATGGCCATTACAACAAACGGATCTGACAAATGCACTGTATAAACACGTGGCGTAATGTACATTTATAAGAGCAACACTTTGACTTTTTTAGTCAAAACAGAAATATATGTATATCAAACTGCCATATTCCGTCCCTCTCACTTTTTGGAGGGTCGTTCTTGTGATATTGAATAATTGGCAGCTCATGGATACTGTTATGTGTACATAGTTAAGTGTTTATAGGGTTTCGTAAGACGTGTTTGTACGCAGTTTTAACAAGCGCTACATTTTTTGTCTCAGAGCCGCTTCTCTTTTTGTAAGTAAATGAGCACTTAGCGCGTGTGTGCGTGCGAGAGTAGAGTTTATATATTTTGTTGAATTCTGACACGCGACTTTCCTCTCTCCACGAGAGTCCACGTTATCGGCATGTCAAGGATTTGCGAGAAGGGTACGATTAAAGTTTGTACTGTTATAGAGCTTTGGCTATATCTATAGCCTAAAAATATATATTGTTATTATTGTTAATATTTACGAGAAAAAAAAACCGTTTTAAAGGCCAAGCTGGGCTTGCCCGAGGTACGTTCAAGAGTCGCTGTAATGTACAGATTGAACACAGTTCTAAACCGCCTTAAATTAACTGCTAGAGTATAATGCGTGTATATAGTTTGGTCAGTATAAGCTGCAAATTGTTGCGCTATGACACCAAGATATATTTTTGTATCTGTGTAACTGCTGTATACTTGATGTAATAGCATGTTTAGTTTTAAATGCAGACTACACACATTTGTAGCTGTCGGCCAGTGTTCTAAAAAAAATTGTTGGATTTCTATATTAATTCACTTAATTAGACAATCACTTTGTGTTTTCAAAAGGAACTAAAGTTTTTTGTTGTTGCTTTCCTTTAATGCTTTATAGCTGCACATTGATGTGTTAAAGGTGTCGAAATAAAGTCCAGATGAGAAATTATTTCGGAAGTCTGGAACTCATCACACGCGCCCAAAAGATACAAAGATCCCCCGTATAGCCTTCAACAGACTGTTGGGAGCAAGTGCTGTTAGCGAGCACCTATGAAGGCTGCCACGGCACACGAGGGGGTGAGTGGTCAGCACTACGCCCGGCCACCTTTCTCTCCCAAGTGGTGATGCACAATGCACCAGGTACTTTTTTGAGGTTGAGTCGACCCAAGGGAGGCCCAGGACCGGTTCAGAGCATCGTCACTGGCGTTGTTCATGAGCGGGAATCTAACTAGGGTCGCCGGGTTCTTAGCGCAGTGCGCTAACCGCTACCCCACCGCTCCCAATGCTCGCCATTCGCCACTAAGTGACGGTGACGTCACCACGGCGCCTGTGCCAGGCTAGGTACACTTTGAGGCCACGTGAAGTGTCGAAGGCTTGCTGACAGGAGGTCTTGGGACACACCCTGGTGCCATGGGTTGGCTGACTGAGCTGACTGGTGGATGCACCAGCTGTACCCCTATGTGCCACCGCTCCCACACACAGAGACACACACACAGACACCTCTTTGCCATCGAGAACTCTCGGCTAAGCCAGTTTCAAATGCAGTGTGTTCCCATGCTCATCTCTTTCGGGGGCCCTGAGCCATGATGGAAATTCCACATTCCCATCGCGGAAGCCAATCTCTCCATCATAGAATAACTCTTTTAACGACACAAGTACGGTTGTCACCTGCTCCTAATTTTCCCAGGATGTCCTATTTTAAAGGTAGCTGTCCTGGGAAATATATGGGTTCCCAGGACGCTGAAAGTCCCGGATTTTTTTTTATTATCAGTTGCGTCATAATTCACCGCTCAAGACAACTCATGTACGTGTCGTTTCTCCTTTCTGCTATTGTGAGATATTCATCTACTTCCCGTGATATTTCCCGGCTCTATGTACCTCAAGAGGTGGCGACTCTGCCAAGAAGGGATAACTGTTATTATAAAGCACCTGATAGGTTGTTTTGGCAACGGCAATAGGCCCGACCGCCTTTGTCTCCCTTGTGGCGATATTATCACGCCGCACCATCGACACGTAACCTAGGGGAAAGCCCGTGTCAAACTCGAATATCAAATGCTGGGCAGCCCACGGTTTTAGCACACACAGGAATAAATACCCAGCTTCTTCAAGTCAAACAGAAGGCAATGAATTCAAGAGTAAACGAACGGAATTGTCTCGTGCCCTATCCCATTCGCACCCCCCAGACGTGGAATATAAGACGTGTGTCACGCGCCGCCTGCGTCTTACCATCAGCGAGATCATTTTAATGGCAGCGAAATGATTTCAAGACCAAAAGCGCCCCTATACATAAGCGAAGCGGTTGCCGGTGCGCCTATGCTAATCGTGCGGCTTTCCCACTCGGGCACGTGCGTGTTGACAGCGCCGTGCCAGGTGATAGCAATTGGTGTGAGACGAATGCAAACACCATCAACCCAAATGAGCACCGAAGACAAAGATCTTCCCCCACCCCCCCCCCCCCCCCCCCCCCCCCCCCCCCCCCCCCCCCCCCCCCCCCCCCCGTGTAGCCTTAACAGACGCGTTAGGAGCAAGTACTGTTAGCGAGCGCCTACGAAGGCACAGTTGGATACGTACGGTGCGAAAGAAGTTCAACACACATGCATGAGGGGGTGGATGGGCAGCACCACGCCCGACCGCCTTTGTCTCCCCAGTAGCGATGCTTACACACCGCACCAGGTACTCATTTTAGGCTGAGTCGAACTGTGGGGGGTCGCAAGACCTCGTCAGATAATTGTCACTGGCGTTGGCCGTCAGCGGGAATCAAACTCAGGTGGCCAGGTCCGTAGCGCAGCGCTCTAACACCGCCATCACCACAACCACCAACAGAAGTACCAACATCACCAACAACCAGGGGCGTGGTAGCTGTCGAGTGTGCACGCAGTGCAACTGCAACGCGGCCCACGGGCCCCAGGGGTGCAGGCACCGCGGATGTGTCGAGGGGGAAGGGGTCACGGGGTCACGGGGACACGATTTAATTCCTCGTACGTGGACCCACGCCAACCACACCACGCTAATGCCACCAGCAAACAACCCCCCGTATCGCCTTTAAACAGACTGTTGGGGCAAGTGCTGTTTGCGAGCATCTATTAAGGCTGGAACGGTTAGGTATGAGGAGGGTGAGTGTCCAACACCACGCCCGATTGCCTTTTGTCTCCCTGGTGGGCGATGTTTACACACCGCAACGATGTGGGCCGAATATTCATATATTCGTCACCGAAGTTGGCCGTGAGCGGGAATCGAACTGGGGGTCGCGCAATACGCAAACTGCTGCAACTACTGCCCTCCCGTTGCTCGTCACCAGCACCACCACCGCCACCAGCGCCTCGGATTGTATGTTCTGTATACCAGATTCCCAGGGTCATATACAATAATCGAGCAAGCACGAACAACCTGCGGTGTTTGTAAAATTGTGTTTCTTTTTAAAGCGGATTAAGTCATCAAAGAGGCACCACCAATGTATTTTGGCCGGTGAGTTGTTGCTGCCTAAGCGTATTGATGTCTTGAACTTTGTGTTGCGGTCATGCCTGATGCTATTACTGTTGATTCATGTTGAGGGTCGCTGTGCTGATGCGTGAGACGACGAGGACATTTCCCCAAGATAAATCTTTGCCCGCTTTACGTCGGCTGCAGTGTCACACTCAACCGCAGACGAACTACTTCTTGGTTCGCCGATGATCCCTGTCAGTCCTGTGTTGTGAAACCAATCAATCCTCCGGTCACGTTTGGGGACTCGGTTCCGAAAATGATGTCGTTCGGAGTTGATCATTCCTAAGAAAACCCTATTTTTAATTACGTAGTACAACAAAGCGTGGAAGAGGCACACAGAATGCGAATATTTATTTATCCTGGAGAAATACGATGAGCTACAAAAACTATTTTTTTTACAGATATCCAGTAGGGGCGGGTCAATACTTGCATTAAACTCCATTGAGACGTAAAGAGGAACACGTGGTTTTGTAAAACATACGCAAGCTAATTACACCCTTCAAACTGTTAAGAAAGGTGAGTTGGGAACCAAGGAATGGAACGCATCTGAAAGGCTGCCCACTGAGAGCTGAGGCAAAGAAATAAACTCTTTTGCGTCTGCGCGGTGGATTGTTTCATCGTAGGATCGTGGAAAAATGGTGACAGATTGGGGAGGGGGTGTTTATCCAGCGGGGGATCGATCATGGCTAATGATGATCATGGTGATGATAACGATGATAATCATCATCATCGTCGTCATCAGTCAGCTTGATCAAATGGTGACCACATCATGGGATAGCAAGTCCTATGGATAGATTCATCCATGCCGACGTGAAGGTAAAATGCTCACCATTGATTCAGTCTTAAGCGGGGAGTGTGGGGAAAAAAACTTTTGTATAGAAACTCCCACTTGCTGGACAGCATTTATTCTCAATGTAGCCACCTTATCGAGTGCTCTGCGGATCGTTAACATCACAGGACTGTGAGAGATAGCGACAGAATAAGGAGCACTTCATCCAGCAGTGGATTGATCGTGGCTGAAGATGATGTTAACCATTTCATTAGCAAAGCACTTGTA